AATTATCTTTCAATTCCTTCTTTGATATTTCTTGGTTAGAAATATGTCTTCATCTTTTTAAAAATAATTTCAAAGCTATTTACTAGAGGCATTGCTTTTTTTTGTTGGGAAGGGTGGGTGGTCAGGAAGAAAAAAAGCGCTGATTTTGTTTAATTTAACCCATGTTGTAAATGTAGATATTAATCTTCATTACTGCATAACTGCTGCTAATTAGCCTATTGAGTTTTCCATACTCAATGAGAAAGATAATCTCCTTAAACCAGTTTAAATGGTCTCTCAACAAAGACTAATGCACTAAATCAGTGGCACTATTTCTTTACTACAAAGGTAGGGATAAATTGTAGTAGTCTGTTCGCTGATTTGTATTTATTTGGCATCTTTGAAAATACCCTAGTGAGGATAATTAGATTGATCTTTTGATGTGTACTTCAGAAACTGAAATTAAAAACCAGTGGTGAAAATCGAGTTAGTCATTTTGAAGGACATCAGAACATAAATATAAAGTTAGTAAAACTCAAAATATCCAAAGTTTGAAATTCCCTCGAGCCACAGCATTCAAAATTCTCAAAACCAATGTTATTAGGTAGGTTTATTGTGCCAACTTGGTTGGCCCTTATGAATATGTGGGATTCATCAGGTTGCAGTTTGATTGGAGGACAAAGAGATAAATGGCTCTGCAAGGCCCGCCCACCTCTCTCTTGCTCTCTGGTGATCAAAGCGTGCTGGAGTTTGCTTGCTGCTGCTTTAGCTAGTTCTCTGCCTCAACCTGTGAGCTAAACCACCTGTTGGCTAAGCCAGCCCGTGGATTGTGTAGCAAGGGCTTGAGGCCTGCTTTACCCTGCTGCTGCTTGAACTTGAACTTGAGCTTGAGGCTGGTGGATTCTGTTGCCTTGCATGGCTTCAGTTCCATATCCCATCAGGACCTGCTTCTCTAAGCTCCTGTTGGTGACCCACCCTGCTGCCTGTTGCCTGTGGGCCGAGACTCTGCTTGACTCTGCTGTCTGTTTCCGGAGCCCATGTGAGTTGAAGGACTTCCAGTATATTCACTGTTCCACAGAAGTGAGTTGAACTGAACCCTCTGTACTGCTGTGTGGATTAATTAGCTGTTATATCCCTTCTTGATGTATAAACCTATTCATATATATATATATATATATAAAATCATAAATGTTCTGGTTTTGTTTCTCTAGAGAACACTGCTTAACACCACCAATAAATCTTGATGTAATGTGCTTTTAGTCTCTCAAGTGAAACATATTTAATGGCACGTGCTAGCTTGGGTCTGGCACACCTTCCTCCTCAAATGATGCATGACTGGCCCAATCTATGGTATTTCCAGTAATCCCATGTATATGTGAAAGTTAGATAATAAATAAAAATGGGTAAAGAAGAATTGATGCCTTTGAATTATGGTGTTTGTAAAGAATACTGAATATATCATAGACTGCCAGAAGGACAAATAAATCTCTGTTATAATAAGTATATCCAGTACAGTGCCTTAAAAGCAAAGTTGGCCAGACTTCATCTCAAGTACTTTAGACATGTTACCAGGAGAGACCAGACCCTGAAGAAGTCTGTCATGATTGGTGAAGTAACAGGTCAGCTAAAAGAGGAAGACCCCCAACAAGATGGATACACACAGAGGCAGTTGGCTCAAGCATATCAATAATTGTGGGGGTGGTGCAGAACCAGGCAGTGTTTAATTTTGTGGTATATAGGTTCACTATGAGTATGGAGGTTTGCTATGAGTTGAAACTGACATATTGGCACCTAACAACAAGGGTACATCAGAGATAAGACAGTACGAAAAAGACAAAAGGAACCCTAAAACTCATCTACCTAATTATTTGGTGTAAACTTTTCCCCAAGGAAGGGAGAGGAGCTTTTTGTGCACATGACCTGTTCGTGGCAGAGTTTAGACTAGATCTTGAGTCATTGGGCTCCATTTCATTTTTCTACCTTATTCCTTAGTTTTTGTTTTAAGTCTCTGGTGTTTTTGTTTCTGTTGTGCGTGTTGCTTATACAGTTAAATGTTAATGTCTATTAGATACTGTATCGTATAGGTTTGTTTTATTTTTCTTTATTAGTTTCTGTATATACTACCATCTTCATCTACGACCTCATCATCTCATACCTGGGTTTTCCGCTTCTCTGTACCTTTCCTCCCTATTCCCCGTTCTGCTGGTGATGGACATATTGTTTAGTTAGTATTCCACCATGCGCTTTCCTGCTTCAGAGTTTGATTTAGCTTTCTATTATACATGAGATCAATGAAAAATGCCAAGTATCTTCTTAAATAATTGTGCCTTATCATGTGATTGTGTTCAGCCACTCACCAGGTCTGTTTAGGTATCCTGACCTTGTCATCCAGCCTTCGACGTGGTTTGCTTATGCCAGCTTTTGAATGAGTTAGGCTGCTTTTCGCTTTGTCTTAGGAGTAATGTAAAAATATATATTTGTTTTTGATTTTTTGGTAGCCAAAAGCAGTTAATGCGTGATTTGGAAAAATGTTCTTTTAGGAAAGAATCGGGGAAGAAGTTGACA